GAGTGCTGAGGGGTGGTCGCTCCCGCCGGAGGGCGGGCGGCGCGCAGCCGGTAAAGTGCTGTCCGCCAAGCCTGTGCCCCAGCGGTGTCTCTGCGCTTACTGGCTCCAGACGTGACGATGTCGTAGGAAAGGAGCTGTTTAATCTGCTGAGCGCGCGTGCTCTGGCGGCCAAGGAGGCCCGCAGCATCCTGGGCTGCGTGAGCGGGGAGCGCAGCCGGGAGGCGGAGGGATTGGGTTTTTCCCCCCCTCTACTGCACGCTCCTTGGGCCACATCTAGGTAGTGTGTCCAGTTTGGGACCCACCAGTGCAGGAAAGATAATAAACAAGCAGGTTTAGCAGAGACTTACCCCCCTTTAAGGTGGCTAAGGGCCAGAGTGCTCATCCTGTGAGGAGAAGCTGAGGGTCCGGGGCTGCTCCAGCCTGGGGGAGAGGTGCCGTTGGGGAGCCTAACAGCAACCCCCCAGAACCTGCGAGGCTGTCATCAGGAAGATGGAGCCGGGCTCTTCACAGTGGGACATGTTGGGAGGCCTACAGACAACCGGCATCAATTGAAAGAGGGGTTGAGGCTGGGTTTAAGGAGATGTTCATCATGAGGACTGTGAGGTAGTGGAGCAGGCTGCCCAGAGAGGTTCTGCGGACCTGACTGGGCACAGCCCTGAGCGACCTGGTCTGACTGCAAGGCTGACCCCGCTTGGAGCAGGAGGTTGGACTGGAGACTTCCTTCCAACCTGAGTTTTCTTATGATCCTATGAACTGCGGTCGTGGTGGGGAGTTGTCCTTCAATTTGTTAAAGATCTTTTGATGCTTTTGTGGATGCTTACCACTGACGGGCTGATGGAGCGTAAGCTGCTGCACTGTGCAGGCTGCAGGTGCTTGGAGCGCTGTGGGCGGTCTGCCCGCAGCGCCTTCTCCACCTAAGGGCAACTCTCTTCCCCCTAACCCTATAAACTATTTGGCTTTTCATTTTCTTTTTACTGCTTCTTCTAGCATACAAAAGATGACTCAGGTTCAGGGTCAACAACAGGTACTTTCTATCAAACGCAAAAAGGAGAAATAAGCCTCAACTTGCTGTGCTGTGAAGAGGGAATGGAGGTGATGATCTGGCCTGCAAATTGTGCATGCACGTACAAGAGAGAACTAAAAGGCTGGAGAAGAAATAGAGTACTAACAGGTGTAAAAATATCTATTTAAGAAACCAAGGCCTCTTCTAGCTTTGATCTTTCTTCTCATTAAGACATTACATATATTCTCATTTGCATTACATATAGTCACACTGAGTTTGCAAAATTCAGCACACAGTGTAAGTTGCCTGTACAGCTTCAATTCATCCCTTTTATGCATTATGACCTAAAGTTAACCGCAGACTTTTTGCCTCATCCTCATATAAACACAGAACCGTGTCATTTTGTAGCGGACAGAACGGACTTTCTGATACGTAGCGGAGCTGTGCATTTTCTATGTGTATTTTCTGTGTAATCCCTGTGTCTCTCCTGGGAAAATTGGAAAGAATGTGGAAAAAAATACGAAGAGAAAGAGTAGGATCATCTCTAAGGCTGGTGAGTGTTTTTTAGAGAATTCTAAATAACTCTTAAATTCTCTTTGTTGAAAATTTCTGTGTAATGTTATGTGCCACATCACTTGAATCAGATTTTTAATAGGGCTGGGGGATGCCCAGTTGTGTTTTCACAGTGCCTGCTTTGAGGTGCTGGGATCCGCTTTAGGATGGCTTACTATTGAAACTGTAGTCAACAGGCAGAATATAGTAAATATTCTGGGTATTTCATAATGCTTAAGACTCAGAAGTCTCACTAGGCACCTAGAACTGATGAATATCTTTTCTTTCTTTCAGAAGCGAAAGCAGCCCTGCACCTCATGGCAGCGCTGTTAAAAGAAATTAATGTAAGTACACAGAAAAGCAATGAGCCACCAATGAATAGAGAACAAGCAGTATTAGATATCCATGCTTAATTCAGCATTGTTCATTCTGCATGCAGTGAAAGAGGTTAGGGACCAATAATTAAAGACTGAATTATAATGCCTGTGCACAAGCAGTTTTAATTCTGGCATTTACTGACTATATTGCTTAATGTTGTAATCTTTAATATTTTATTATAGTGCATAATTTAAATAAATCCAGTTACTGTTTTTTTAGTATCTCCTGCTCCACACACAAAAACTGCATCAAAAGACATTTGACTCTTTAAAAAAAGAGGAGATGCGGTATCATTTTTCTTTTTCACGAAAATCAGTCACTGTGGTTCTTTGTTTTTAAACAGCAGATGCTACAATTACCATAGCACCAACTGGGTTAGGATTTTACCTCTAGATGCTCTTTATATGCAGAATGGTCGCTCAAACTGTATATGTGATCTTCCCCAACTTATTTCTGAGATGCTTTAATGTCTCTGAGCACAAAGCAACGACAACAGAATATGCTGCAATTCATCCAGAAAATAATACAGCAATCTCAGGCGCCGTCTTAAAAACAGCAGCTACTACCTTTCAAGGCTTAATTTACAGAGACAACGGAGACGCTCAGTCTGCACAGCTTTCTAAAGCTACCTGAGTTTATGCCGTCCAGTTTGCTTTTTCTTATTATTGCTAGCACTTGTGTGGCTGCCAGTATTTAATACCATTGGCCTGAGTAAGTTTAATTGGCACAGTACTAAAAACAGCTGTGCCCATAACAATGTTATCTTCGGTAAGGTTCCCAATATTGCTAAAACCAGTGGGAATGTCTGTAGTGAAATTTCCCTAGGTTAGAAAATTCAGCAAGACTTTTAAAAAAACACCTACAGACTCAGACACTGCTCTTTCGAACCCCATTTAGCAGCCCCCTAGAGAGTTTATTCAATTGGATATTTCTTCTCATGCTGGTTTTAGGCCATTTGTTTCCAGAAAAAATCTGCTGCCTTATGACAAACTTTCCTTTTTTCTGATTTATAACTTTGGAAAAGAAAATAGCCTGTCAGTCTTATTGGTTTAAAAAGCTGTGCTGCATTTCTTTAGAAAAAGAAAAATATATGTAAAATATAATACAATTTTTGATGTATGCTTTTTCTTAACTCTTATTATGGGAAAAAGGACATATATGGGCTAACGAGTCAAAGGTTATAGACAAATTTGTAAACAGAGTAATGATACGTCTGGGTAGCCAAATGAAGTCTAGGTAATTCTGGCTACAGCACGTGGAGTAGTCATTTTTTTAGACTGCTGATTTTTACAAAATATACTGCTGCAGCTCTAGCACCAGAGCAATGTCATAAATCCACTTTTAAATATTCTCCTCCACCCCCTTGTACTATCTACATTTTGTGTAGGTGCCACTGTGATAAGAACTGTTCTGTTGTTGAACACACTATGCAAAATTTCTTGAAAGTGCTGATATAACCAAAGCACTGTTTAACAGAACTAAACATTGCAGCACTACAGCTGAATGTAAATGAGGCAAATTTTGAACCTCATATCGGAGCTGCCCTCTGTAGAGATTAGAGCTCCATCGTCAAAATGGCTATTTGTTTAATTCTTTTGCCACATAAACATAATAACAATGAAACTGCGTAATTTGTGCCTAGTACAATAATGTAACTGATTTCCGTTAAACTTAATTTGATGATAGATGATATGTTCTTTCGTTATTCAGCATCACCACTGTGGTTTTTCATGAGTAAAAACCCTGAGCAGTGTAGAAGCTGGTCCTGAAAGAGTACATCTTGCCTTCTTCCATAAAGCTTTCTTATAGGTGGGAATAAGCACCTAGAAGTCTGCTTTCTGGAAAGAAAATGTGTCTTTTGGAAATGTGTCGTCCAAAGGTCAATCTGTGGGCAGTTCAACAAGGTCCAAGTCTTTTTAAAGGCATCGGAAAAGTGGGCGAAATACCTTCCATAATGAATAGAAGATATCCTACAGCATATACGTGTGGTCTAGGAAAAGTTCATTGTACCTGAAATTTTACTGTAATAAGCTTGCACACAGTTTGATCAAGTTGTTCTTCATGGTCAGTCTTCTCAGTCTG